AAGTAATGCAAAGTTTAAATGTCTTGTTGCGTTTGATTTTTGCAATTATAACAAATTTACTTTTGTATGTAAGTTTTCAGTTGCCTAATAAATAATTTTTGACAGTTTTGGTTAGTTTTTGGGAAGGAAAATGTATTTTTTTTTTAAATGAGACACCCTGTAGGTTTTTTACTTTAACGTTCGTAAATCACCAGCAGAACAAAAAATTCACAGGCAATATTAGCCTAAACTTGAATTATCAGCACAGTGGTTGCTGAATAAAACTCCATTTTCCTTTTAATAGTTTTTTGATTTTTCGTCTCCTTCTTTTGGGAATGAAACCGTTTTTGCAAAAAAGAGACGAAAAAATTTTCTTGTAAGTGAAGACGTGGCAATTGGTGTTCCTGAATATTTTCAACAATATCTTGACGATTATATTTAAGACTCTAATCTATCCTTTAATACTGCCCTAAGGATAAAAAAACACAAATTTTGGCCTTATAAATTCCGACAAGCTGAGGTGTAGGGGATGCAGAGGGATAACTTTTTTTATCATTGGTATGTTAACTTTTGCCGCCAAAACATAAATAATTTTTGCCAATTAAATTTGAACAAAATACATTCAGATTTCCACAGTTTTTTATTATTATTTCAAGAACACCCTGCCTCTATCAAATACAAAATATGACAATATTCCGACATCTATATATAAAATCAGGTAGTAATAGTGACGATAATTTTCATATTTTACATAATGAAACAAAAAGGTGAAAATAAAATTTGTTGGAAGTTATGGATTTAAATGCATCTCCGTTGTTAAATAATTTAAAACCCTACACTAGTAATTAAGAGTCTATTACTACCTGATTGTATACATAGATGTTAGAATATTATCATATTTTGAACTTGATGAAGGCACGGTGTTGTCAAAACAGCTATCATATAGTAATAAATAACTGTGAAAATCTAAACATCTTTTGCTCTAATTTAATTGTGTTAAATGTGATAATCCAAAAAATCATCATTATGTATTGCCAGTACATCCTATGAGGTCCACAATTTCGGTTCAGCTTTGACGTTTGGTGCGGTATAATTGGTTCACGCATTGGTGGTCCATATTTTTACCACGGCACGATGACCGGTGGATCATATATATTACTGTAATTCTGGATGATTTTCTATTAGCTTGACTTCATTAGTAGGCAGAAACTCTATTTCCAACAAGATGGCGCACCATCTGATAACTTCCGAGCATATATCAATTTCTGATAACCGTTTTCAACAATAAATAGATTACTACCAATGGACCTATTATTCTAGGTCACTTGATTTCTATTGGGTTGTTCGGAAAGTCATTTCGTTTTTTTGGGGAACATGAAAGACAGTTTTCGTTTAATGAATAAATATTTTATTAAATTATATATTGGCCATTCTGGTCCAACACCTTTTGCCATCTTTCTGGCAGTAACATAATTCCCCTCTCATAAAAGTTTTGGTCCTTGCTGGCAAAAGCTGGTTCAGGTGGTTTTTGACATCTTCATTTGAGGTAAAGGTTTTGCCATCCAAAAATTTTTGCAGGGACCGGAACAAATAGTAGTCGGAAGGCGCCAGATCTGGAGAATATGGTGGATGTTGCAGTACGTCCCATTCGGGCCTCTTCTCTTTAAGTGAATCATTCAATTTGTCCAGTTGATGACAATAGACTTCTGAATTAATCGTTGTATTGTCCGGCAAAAGGTAAAAAAAAAACGATTCCTTTGACATCCCACCAAACGGGGAGCATCACCTTTTTTTGGTGAATGTTGGCTTTTGACACGCTTTGAGCCGGTTCATCTTTTCTGCTCCATAACCTCTTGCGTTTAACATTGTTGTATACAACCCATTTTTCGTCCCCAGTAATAATCCGCTTTAAAAATGGATCATTTTCTTGACGTTTGAGGAGCGAATCACACACGTCAACGCGAGGACACAAATTTCGAGGTTAAGCCCATGCCTTTCAAATGGCCATAAACAGTCGAATTCGACAAATTTAATCTCTCACGGATCTCTCGTGTGGTTATTCGCCGATTTGCATCAACTAATGCCTTTATCGCATCTTTGTCAGCTTCGATCGGCCTTCCAGACCGTGGTGCATCTTCGACATCAAAATTGCCGGATCGAAATTTTGCAAACCAGTTCTGGCACTGGCGTACTGTTAACACGCCTTCTCCATACACATCCGTCAATTTTTTTCTCGCTTGGACAGCATTTTTACCTTTTCTGAAGTAAAAAAGTAAAATATGACGAAAATGCTGCTTATTGCTCTCCATATTTAAAAGGGCACCAACCAAAAACTACTGCGTAGAATTAATAGAACTTTTTCACACACAAGCCTTGCAATATCAGCTCTCAAGGCATAATGGTTATGCGGCTTAAGTGTGAAGTTGGTTTCGAAAAAACGTAATTAAGTCCTCTGACGGGAAAAAACGAAATGACTTTCCGAACAACCTTATACTTATGGGGTTATTTAAAGGACCAAATTTATAATCAAATATACCATCACGTTGACGTTTTAAAGGCTGCAATAAGAGACAAAATTAACCAGAGAGCTGGTAGAACAATAGTAAAGGCAATTCGCTCAAAAACATGCTCAAAAATGTATTAAAGTACGAGGTGCTGTTTTTAAACACCTCCTAAAATAACTTTAACAATTAATCATAACCTAATTACATTATTTAGATTTTTTTCTATTTTCTTATTTTCATGTTTCTTACGCTATTACGTTTTATTTCGCAACCACTCTTAGCCACATAATCTAAAAGAGAAATGTACTACTTTTTATAAAACTTCTGGATTGCTCCTGCGTCGGTTTTTATTGACTCGAACTAGCTAACGTTTAGTCAATCATCCTGTTGGTTTCTTCAGAACTTGACTGTACCTGTTTGAGGGGGACGGAGCTAAACACCGTCTCGGATGACTGATTCCCATATTGGTGACAGGTAGAGACCTGAGTCGCGGTTAAGATTGTTAGGTTGCTTATAGATTTCTATAGACTCTCAGATTTTTCGTTGATAGAAGAATTGATTAGGTGCAAGAGTTTTAGTTTTATCGAATAAAATTTTATGTCCGGTTTCGTGAATGTGTTCGGCAACTGCTGATGGGTTTATTTGTCTTAGTCGTAAGGCTCTTTCGTGTACTTTGAGCCTAGTTGATATTTATCGTCCGGTCTCTCTAATGTATTCTTTGCCTATGCATGGAATGCTGTAAACTCCTGGCATCTAAAATGGAATTTTGTCTTTGACGGATCGAAGATGTTGAGAGATTTTTGGACAAGTAGTAAATCTGGTTTTGAGGTTATATTTATTTAGAACTTTTGATATGTGGTCGGTGATGTTTTGAATATAAGGAAGGACAACAGTAGCAAATGTGGGATTGCTTTCGGTTTGATTGCTATTGGAAGGTTGTGGTAAAGTGTATTTTGTGATGGAACGTTTAATATCTTTAATGTGGAAATTATTAGAAAGAAGAGCAGAGGTAAGGTGTTTAAATTCTGGGTTCAATGACTAGAGCTGACATAGTTTTACGGCTCTGTAAGCAAGAGAGTTGATAACCGATGATTTTTGGGCCGGATGGTGACGTGACAGTGCATTAGTGTATCGGTCTGTGTGCTTATTTTTTCTGTAAACACAATGACCCAATGTTAGGTCTGATTTTCTATTGAGAAGAATATCTAAGAATGGTAAGTTGTTATAAGTTTCAATTTCAATGGTAAAACGTATGTTAGGGTGTATGGGGTGTAAATGTCTAAGAAAATTTACTAGGGATTCCTGACCATGAGGCCAAATAACAAAAGTATCATCGACGTAGCGTTTCTATAATTTTGGTTTTAGATGGAAGGTGTCGAGAGCTTTCTTCTCAAAGAGAGAGAGAATCTATAGAAATCTATAAGCAATGGGAATCAGTCATCCGAGACGGTGTTTATGCACCTCATTTCGCTCCGCCCCTCTCAAAAAATATAAAAGCAAGTACAGAATAAAATGCGAGCCAGTTTGAGTCAAGCTCTGAAGAAGCCAATAGGATGATTGGCGAAACGTTAGCTAGTCCAGAAACAAGAACAAGAAACAAGTTTTATGTTTTTTTACAGTAGCCTGTGGAATTTTCTGTAAAAAAAAAGTAATGTGGTGATAATTCGGTTATTTTCAATTTTAGGCTAATATTGCATGTGATCTTTTTTTGTTTGTTTGGTGCTTTAGGTACGTTAGACTAAAGAATATACAGGACGTTTCATTCTAAAAGAGTACATTTTCGTCATTTTTCCTCAAAGCCTACATTCAAATGTTTTTCTGTTTTCACCAACCTAATCAGCGGAAAAAATGCAACTAGTTTGCTAGTTTAACCAACTTTGTATCTCTATTCATAACAAACTGATGAACACTTAATTTAGATCAGCCTGTGTAGACATTATCCGGACTAACAAAAATTAAATTATATAATGCGTAGACAAGATAAAATCATAGCGAAAACAACACAATCCTACCCTACGGTGTTAAATTTCCAACTTAGTTTGTCTATGACGCACCCTGCATCAAAATTAAAGCTTTTTTTTATTAGGTAGAAAACCGTAGTTTTAAATTTTAACCAAATGTACTGCCCGAGAGTGCAATTTTTGTTCATACTCACATATACATAAACTTCCATTACCTGTGCCGAATATGCACTTTCCTAATTTTCCGAAAATTACCTCTACAATGTGGTTCTATTTTTAGTTTCTTTCGTTCAATTTAATTTTCGCAACATTAATGCTTATATAACCTGCTCCTCTATTTCTAAGTTAAGCTCTACTTCCAGCTGTACAAATAGGCAACGATTTCTTCAAAAATGGACACCTATATTATCATGATCAAAGTTTAGGTATTTCAATTAATTCCTAGAATTTGCCAGTCGCTCAGAACATTTAAGACGAAGAAGTTATGCGACAGCATCGATAAACTTGGAATATGGAAATGGAATTTAATAGGTGTTTTTTAATGCGCTCCACATACCATGTGAAATAACCCCCTCCTCCAGTAACGCCTGCCACATTCCGGCCGCCTGCGATCTGGTGTGTATGCTGGGGGACAGGCTAAGAAGCCAGTCCACAAGTTCTGTTCCCGGAGCACATCTTCGTACCAATCTTCCCGATACTTTTCGATCCTTAAGGCATGTATTTCCCGCTGAAAATGTTTTGTGCGTTAATTAAATATGTCTAATTTTACATTTTCTTAGACAATTCCAAATTATTCATTTATTATACAGTGTGTCCCACTTAAGAACTGTACGCCCTTGTTAAATCTTTGTTTATTGATCGATTTTAATAATTTTTCATTGTTGGATAGATCTCTGAAAAATACACTAAAACCTAATTTTGCTTATTACTTCACCTATTAGAAATTTAAAAAATAAATAAATTCTTAGAATACTGAGAACCCAACTACACCAATTTCTATAAAGTTTCTATACAGGGTGTTTCAAATATCATTTACGCCACGCTTAAGGTTGTACAACGTTGTAAAATCTTTGATTATGGTTCGATTTTTCTTTATTGGATTGTCCTCTCAAAATCGCATTAAAACCTTACGGTTCTTTTTACATCAATCTAAAGTCATGGCCAACTGGGACACACTGTTGATGTCAAATATCGAGAGTGGCTTTTAGGGATTTCTTTAAGAATAAAGTATCAACAGACTCTTATTATTACATAAAACCTAACTTATACTAATTTTCATGAAGTTCGTTTAAGCCTGTTTATGACTACAATTTTGATAATTCTTTTTTGCCGGATAGATCTTACCAAAGTCATGGCTAACTGACACAGCTTTTTGAAGCTAAAAATCGAGGAGTACTTTTAGAGATGATTTCAAAATTTAGGACTACCTAAAAAAACTAGACCAATGATCAAATTTTTTAACGTTTTCAAAAAAATAAATATTGTAAACCTTGTAAATAACGATTATTTTGTATGTGACTTTAAAAATCTTACAAATTTTAATTAAAAATCATGATAAAAAAGACTTTCTAAAAGACATTTATTTTTTAGTATAATCTTAAAACAACAGTATTAATAAATCTTAGTATTCAAAAGATATAATGTAAACAACATTAAAATATAAATTAGCGAGTGAATTCTAGATTCGCTCCTCCATGCCAAATTAGGTTTTACAAAGGAAATAGTATGCGGACGTCAATCAATTTTGATATTTCTGTTATTTTGATCAAAAGGTGAGAATTGAAAATCCTTCTAATTAAAAAAATACTGCGTTGTACTACTTACTAATCACATTTTAAGAAAATCATTAGTGCCTTTCAGGACACATTTATCCAACAAAAAAAAAGAATTATCAAAATTGATCCATAACAATCTACAGGAGTAATGCTTAAGCGAGGCGCTCTGTATTTGAACTTCATGGAAATAAGTATGTTTAGATTTTATGTAGTCCTGAATAAGAATTCGTTGACACTTACTTCTTAAACAAATCACTATTAGCCGTTCTCGATATTGGACATCAAAAATTAGTCCCAGTTTGCCATGAATTCAAGTGGATGTAATAAGAAACATAAAATTTTAGCGCGTTTTTAACAGATCTATCCAACAAAAAAAATTATCAAAATCAAATGTGCAGCTTTAAGCGGGGCACCAACGATATTTCAAACACCCTGTATTGAAGCATAAAAAATGGTACAGTTGGGTTCTAAGTACTCTTGAATAAGAATTTGTTGACAATTTATTTTTTTAAAAATCCCTATTAGTACTTCTCTCTATTTTGTTAAATAGCCTCAGCAATAAGCACAACCAGGCTCTAATGCATTTTTCAGAGACCTATTCAACAAAAAAAAATATCAAAATCGAAACATGAACAATGATTTTACAAGGGTGTACAGTTCTTAAGTTCATGTAATAATCTATAGGCGACATAAAACACGTCTAGAATTTTCCGAAGAATTGAAAAATACAACGACAGATATAGTTAAAATAAATAATCGACTTTAATACAATTCTAAATTTTGAAATTTTGTTATTGGTGAAACATCCTGCTACAAAAGTAATAATATTGACTAAAAAGAAATCAAAAACATCAAGAACGGAAATTATTTCCTCATAAATCATCGGCAACCTGAATTCCAAAAATGGTCGAAAACGCCTATAAATAAACCCACAAAACAAGATAAAAACCAAAATTAAAATCGGGGTTGTTTATTTCATTATTTTGCCTTAACAAATATATGAAGAAAATAACGTATATTCAAAATTAGATTAGACGCAGAAAAGAACATGACATTTCCGGTTAATGTGAAAGAAAATAAAAGACATTTTTCGTGAGGAACATTAAAAGAACAATGCAAGTTTCGAGTTCTGTTTCACGAAGCGTAAATGGTTTTGTCGGGGAATAATTGATGTGGTGGATAAACATCAAAACCACCTCGGCACATCAAAAACAACCGAGCCAAATAAAAGGAAGCCAATGACGTACCACAGAAAGATCGCATAAAGCCTTTTGACCAGTTACTCTCAGAATTCGGAAAACAGTATGAGCAGACATTAAATGTTTACATCTTCAAAGGATTTCTAAAGTTCATTGATACCATATGTTTTTGAAGTACAACCTTTACAAAAAAAGTCCTAGCTAAAACTCGATTTTAAATTTTAAAATGTTTTATAATAACGCGACGATATAAATATAGGACATATCCATTCGAATTTATTATTGCCACCAAATATCTCTGGGGCGTGATATTTAGTTTAAATTCCCACTTGTTGCTGAAAATTCTAAAATAACTTTGAATTCGAACATTGCGGAGTTCGCTAATGTTTTCGGTGCATTTGAAACCCCGAGTAAAACACATATTTTGTTTCATTAAGAGGACGTAGAGCCCTAATTTGCATTAGGAACTAGGTTAATGTAACTCGGGTGCTAAATTACACTCTACATTACGACGAAAGTTTATTTTAACCCTATTTTAAGGTATATGACTCTTATTTTTTTGGAAATAATGCTTAGAGTAGTTTTTAGTTTTTATGTATAGTAGTGGTAAAATTAGTATCATAAGAGTTAAATATGGCATAGCTAATGTATCTGAAAAAAATGTTTTATTTATAAAACCGGTTTTGTTATGCTTTGTTATGCTGTATTAATAAAATCCTAATACTATACCTAATTTTTTTTTAGGTCAAGAATAGCCTTAAAGGGGCTACCGTTGCTCATTTGATCGCTTCTTCGTGTTTAATCGGGCTTTTGACACTCATCAAGCAGCAATCGGACCGACAAAAAAATTGTTTGATTTGATGGTTTAAATTTCTTTTCTTATTTTTATGAAGTTCTGATGAAGCTTACACTTATCGTCCACAAGGTCAATCAAATAATACAAAGCTATTATATAGTAAACACCGATATCCTTATTACGTCCTCGATTTTTCTTTGAATATCTCGTGTAATTTTATGTGCATAACCATGGCTATACATAAGTAGACTAGCCCATAATTAATTAGGAAACTTATTACGTTATATTATTATTAACGATATATTACATTATGTTATCATATATTTTATTTTATAAAAAGGATAATAATTAATTTATTAATTATTCTAAATTAGAATTTTCTGATAAAAAATTTTGGCGATTATTTTTTTCCTTTTCATTCCATTGTAAACAATTTACAAAAGATCAAACAGAAACATATTATTAATACAACCTCATATTCTTGGATTTATGCAGGATGTTATTGAAATGACAATGATGCCGAATCGATATTTTGTTGTATTCAAATCGCATCAAAAAGGCTATTTTTCGAAACCTTATCGGGCTTAAGAAAACGACTATTGGAAAATTTTTGGGGCAAATATTTCATGTAATACGCTGTTGTTATCATTGGGGTAATGTTTTGTTTACAAGTTGCGGCGATTTCGATCAATTAGTAATAACGGGCAAAAATCTTGGACGGTTATTAGATTGGACGAAAAACAAGATATGCCGGTTCCATAGCTGCATATTTTACAACGCAAACCAATTTTGTAATACATCCATTTCAGGAATGTCACTTGAAGGGCTCGTTAATTTCTAACTTTACAGGCTAATCTTGACACTAATACTAAATCGAACATTTTTTTTTCTTATTGGAGCTTGTTAAACGCTCGGATACACGATTTGCCACACTTATCGCTGTGATTACCCTCCGAAAGATTCAGTGACACGACAAGCATTTTATACGAAATTTTTTGAGCAATTTTTTCGGAATACCAAGCTGGAATCTTTATTTGTAATTATCCCTCGACTATGAGATTCAATCATAAAGTTATACGATTATGTGAAGTCAATTGAATAACACCTTATATTAAATTTATAGGAAGTCAGTTGGTACCTAAAAGATAAGCATTCTAAAGCTTCTAAACTTAAATGCATCTGAAAATTATCTAAAATTTAACATATTTTGTAATTTTTGAAAGAAACAAATTTTATATTATAGTTTTAACTATTATTCATGTATTGGTGTTTATTTTAATCAAACAAAAATTTGTTTCTTCTCTGCAAAGATTTTAGGTCTCAGTCAGGAAGGTTAAAATTCGTTACAAACGAAAAACTCCTGCACTAATTCTAGAATCAATTGAACAGGTTCCAAATGAGTTTGAGATCATAGAAATTACAGAGCAATTCATTGCTTTGATGTTTTAAGTACAGCGCACACCTTCGCAGGGCCGTGATAAAACCCATCCCTACAGATGTTTATTCTGCATTAAGTAGATCTTGCCTGAGATGGACCGTAACAAATATTTGTAGAAACTTGAAATTTTTATTTGAAACATAAATTTGCGAGGCTGTTTTCACTGGACAGTTCAAAGGGTCCTGTACCCTATTTATCTTACAGGTAAGTTTGAAAATAATCATTTTTGTCTTGTCTGCCTATCGACTAACAACATTCTTCTTCTATTTTTGTGCCTTCTACATAGTTCTTCGATTTGTTAACAAAAACAGTCTTTTTTAAGGCTATAGACTATATACGCGGTAGATAAAAGTACGTCATAAGAACACAGATTTATTAGAACTTACAATTAACATTTTTGAAGGTTTCTGTTTTTTAACACTTTAGAATGTGGAGACCGTGGACTGAAGCTGATGTTCCCCTGTTAGACGAAGACATGGAAAACCATGGGAACTTGAAGATACAAATAGCAAATAAAAAAACTGATACATTTGTCTTCGGATGCTAAACAAATTGTTTTGAATGTTTACAATTCCATAAGAAATTCAGAAGGCGAAGTAGGAGCAGCAATAAAAACAGGTGACATGGCCAAAGTTCCGAAGTTAACTGTTAGAAAAATTGTTGCAAATGGGATGGTCAAGAGGAAAGTGAGAGAAGATGTTGGTACTGCGCGAGTTTTTGAAGAGCAACACGCAAATCTGATAAGGCGTATAATCTACAACGATTTTCAGTTCCAAACAATAATCGTCAAGTGCTAATGGAATCTCAAAGAATTTCGCACTAGAGGCAAATTAGGCCAATAGTGTATTTAGACGGATCGTTCGACACTCACCACACGGTAAAAAAAGGATGGTGTGATAACAGTAACAAGTCTGTACTAGACGTGCCGCCTTCACATGGAAAACGCATTCTTCATGCTGGGTCCAACAATGACTGGGTGGTAATAATCCAATGTAGAAATGTAATGAAATAGAACGTAAAATATTGTTACTTTGTACTAATATTTTTATGTACATGTTTCAAGAATTGCTCGGCGAAAAAGATTGAAACCATACTAAGATCCCGCTTGTTAGTATAGGTAGATAAATTCCTAGGACTTTCCTGGAATGGTTAAGGGTAACACGCTAATAAACAGTAGGCAAAGTTAATCACGGGGTTGGTTGTAAAAGTACTATATTTCTGGTCGAAGTATACTTACATAAAAGCAACGTTCTTAAAGCCCAGCCTATTCTTCCTATAATCTGACTCGGCTGATCGGTTATGGGTTCGGCTGGGTTCGGTTGATCGGGAGACATCGATCTCCGTGGTGGAGGCGACACAGATTGATTCATACCTTTGCTCGTTACGGCGGCACCAAACCCTGCGCAAAATTAATTAAATTGAGACATTTCGAATAAAAACATTGTACAAACAGAGTCCGATATAAAAATATAGAATCTCCACCCCAATTCATTTTCCCGAAACAGAGGCTCGTAAAGAAACGCAAATTCTTTTTTAAACAATCAAATTCAAATTGTTCAAGCAGACTGTTACGAGGCCCGAACATAAAACAGGGATAATGGAAGAATCTCCAAAAATGTCGGCACGAGGAGGAGCAGTGTCTCTTTAAGGCGTTGGTGCACTTAAAATAAAATCAAAAGCAAACGGTTCCTATTGTTTCGGCAGACCGTTTCACCCGTACTCGGCGAAAAAAAAAATTCACTTTTGAAACAATAATAATATACGTGGTGTTTGCTAAAAAAATATATAAATTCCAGGCGAATTTGTACGGCTAATAGTAAACTTCGAATTTTAGATCATGGTAATAGAAAGCACACTTTTGAGGCAGGTAAATAATTTAAAACTTTGTCTTGTGTGCTTATATTTAACTCGACACCATTAATGAAATTAAAAAAGGTTCGCATCTAATTTTCTGTGCGACAGTTTACATTAAAGTAATATTTTAATTGGGTGACTGAAATTAAATTGAATTCGAAATATTTGACTCTTTTATTATGTTACCAAACATATCCGAACTGTTAATATTTGGAAAATCTTGATCAGGGTACAACAGCAAAACGTCAGCTTTTTAAATTTATCTTCTCAACCACAAAAATATGGGATTTTATCAATATATCAATATATACCAATATACAAAATACTTCACTTTAAAAATTAAAGTTGCTGCTATTATTCGACACAATCGCCAACATTGCTACTCTGAAAATACATCTATAGAGATTCAAAAATATATGTGGCCAGAAAATTACAACGCCCGTTTTCCCAAAATGCCCAACTTTCCATCAACATCCTATAGATAAAGGTAAATATATTTAAGTTTAATGTTCCCTTACGCTGAATTTAAAACTAGCCTCCGCCACTTAACAGTATATTATGGACCTGTAAAGTTAAAAGTTAATAAGTTCGGTAACATGGCATAGAATGGATATGGCACCACACCAAAATGTCCGCGACTATAATCTATTTAACTCAATTGCTCCCTTTAAACACCTCGCCAATATAAACGACCACTTATACAGAAAACAAAAATTATCAGAAGCGGCTGCTACTGTTAGACAAAATCGGCAACATTTTGACTCTGAAAATAAATCGATAGAGATTCAAAAACATATGTGACCAGAAAATTACTACGTCTCTTTTTTCCAAAATGTCAAACTTTCCATCAACACCCTATAGAGAAACGTAAAGTTCAAAGTTGAGCCAAATGACAAAAATAGGGTCGAATGGATAAGATACCGCACCAAAATGTCAGCGTTAATAATATATTTAAGTAAAATGTTCCCTTACGCTGAACTTAAAACTCTCCGCCACTTAACAGTATATTACGGACCGGTAAAGTTAAAAGTTAATAAGTTCGGTAAAATGGCATAGAATGGATATGGCACCACACCAAAATGTCAGCGATTATAATCTATTTAACTAAATTGCACCCTTTGAACGCCTCGCCAATATAAACGACCACTTAATAACAGCAGAAACTCTATATACGGAGTCTCTAAACCGAAGTTGCGTCGACTCGTATGTTGGTAGTTCAAAACACGACTAAATTCGATTAACGAATGGGGTGAAGTGACCAGACGATACATTATGGTCGAGAATTAATTTGAGTGATTTAATTGAGCGGCTTAGAAGCATTACTCGTTTGGTCACCCCTTTTTGTATCGTTCAATGTTAGACAAGCGTGGGTATTGCTCGAACAGGAACTTCCATTATTCTGTTTATGAAAGCAGTTAGAATGCGCGTTTTCATTCCCAGTACTTCGATGCGATAGCGACAGCTATTATTCTGGGAATACCATCGTCATTTCGAGTCTCTTTCTGACTATCTTTAATGTTTGAAATAAATGGGAATTAAACTTTTTACTATATCATTGAAATGTCGATATGTAACATAGAAAATATTTGTGCACAACTCTGAAACAAACGTGAATGAAAATGAGAAAAAGGTCGCGTTCATACAGGGTGATTCATAAAGATTTTCTAAGCTCATAAAACTGTCGCTGGCTGGGGTTCTCAAAGTTTAAATTTTATTGAGAATTTTCTCACTTATTAAGAAAGTTTTTATAGGATAATAATAAAAATCGGAGGTTTTAGGTTTTTCGACATGGCCATTTGCATGTTGTTCCTAGGGCGTTAGTTTCACCGTATTATTATATTATAGTATGTTTTTGATCTTGCGAGTGATGGAAATATGACGAAATTCTGAAAGAATGTACAATTTTTATAGCAAATTAATTTTATACATATTTTTTAAATACTTAAAGGATGAAAAGGTACGGCGAGATATAAAAAGTCAATACTTGGAGAATAATAAAAAATACTAATAATAATATAAAAAAATCAATCAAATGATGTACACCATCTACCTCAAAACATTTAAAAATATACCCTCTTAAATATCTTCGAATGTTAAACAAGGCTTCTTTATTATTTCTAAGGGACTTATGTTCAGCAAATTCTTCAACCATGACCACATCCAACCCAAATCAACGATGAGGAAACTGTTCATAGAAATATTGGCACACTGGAAATGCTAGTGGCATGCATGTGTTAAGATGAGTGATAAATCATTTAGTAACACTTCTAAATGGTACTGAAGTTTAAATAACGAGGTCCAGTTAGATTTACCTGGCATCAACGAAAACAACAGAAATTATATCATGTCAAATGTTTACCTTAAACTGCTGAGAATGTGTTGCTTTTACAGCATGCGAATTCTCAGAGTCCACAAATGCATATTTTCCCATTTAAAAACCCTCGTCTAGTAAATGTAGAAAAAAGAATCTTATTACGTAAATTTGGGTTTGTGCTTTGAATATTTTGTATATATATTATCACGTTGAATCTTTCTTCCAAGTTTTCGAATTCAATTTCAGAACACTTTACTTACACAGTTATAATGTAGCAATTGCTAAATTTAGCTAGAGCTTTCCAAAAATTGGGAATCAGAACTACAACTTCTTATTATCAGCGATCAATATTCGAAAAAACGTAACAATTTTGGTAAAACCGGCGCGTTATGCCAATGAATCACGTATTGCACTTAAGCGTTATAAATAGCTTATGTGTCTGGAAAACAAGCTGAGGCTTTACAAAGCGGTTTGCGTTATGCTCTAATATTCCATTATAGCAGAATTTCACATCGATTACACGTGATCCAAAATTTAGTGAGAGTTTAATTGAAAACTTCCGAGTATGGCAGACAGGACGGGTAAAACACCGACTTTGGTCGATAGCTGACAGCAAATTTTTCATGATACGTCCCAACCCGTAATTAAATTACAGCTTGGTAGAAACTCGCAACAACGCGTAAGTTCATAAACTACAAGTTCCCTGAAATTGAAGACGCTCGGTTGCGAGATTAATGGTACATAACCCAGAGGTGAAAGATACTGTCGACATTTTACATACTCTAAATTTTTCAGTACGCCACTATTCAATATAATGACTGTTACTTTAGGATGATGGATAACTACTATTACGTGAAACAACGCGTTCTAATTCGTAGTTTCTTAAATATTTACAGAAAATTGTTATTTTGTCATTGTCATGTCTTATCACCAATAGATCGTTAAGCCAAATTTGATTATATTATGGGAAATTGAATGCTCTACAAAAATGGTCTCTTATACTTGTTCGATAAATCGAACCATTTCAAAGATATTCGAGGCTGAAGAATTTAAAGAAAAATAGCTTTGGGTTCTCAATTTTGTTATTGACTGTAAAATAACTATCGTGAAATGTTTTCCATTACGCTTATAGAAAATTTAATGATCTACAAAATAGGTATCTTGTGGTTTATCGATTACTCGAACGATTTTGAAGATCCTTGCATTGGAATCCTAATGGGTATTTGTATTCATAGTTTTCAATAAACATTTTCTAGTTATTCATTAAATTGACGAGTTTTCACAACATTCATAAAAATTTGCTTGGTAGTATATTTCTTCAGAATCAAATTTCAAACGTTATTTTCTTTTATAATTTTAATTAATTGAATATTTTGAATTTTGTAATTTATTTTTTTTGTATAGGGATTTAGTTTTAAAAAATTCGTAATTCTGTTATTCATTGATTTCTTGTGATCGTAGGGCCTGTAGTTTTATATCATTTCTATGTCACCTCTTATATTTCTATATTGCGTTCAAGTTTTTGGTTAGTTAGTTCTGTCTTTTTGTGTATTACTGTAACGAAATAATTTACCGCTAAGTTTTAATATAATTACAATATTTGTGAATTATATGCTAATTATTTAATATGAATGAAAAAATACATTTCATGGGCAAACCGATCACAAATATTCTTAAAACAAAATTACCAACAGTGAAAGAGGTTATGTGTGTATTTTTCACCAACTTAATTTCCTGAAATATTCTTCGAAACAAAGTGTTAAAAATGTAGCAATTTAAGTTTTCGAACCACGAAAAAAATGTTCCCACTTCTGGTGCTGATAATGTAGTGAAATGAATTCTACGATGTCACGACAAATGGCAAAGTATTAAAAAAAGCTGCAAGTGTAAAAAATCAGCAGCACTAAAAGGAATCAGCATTTCAGAATGAGCTTAAAATATTATTTGATATTTAATATATATTGGCTTAGTGATGAGATATGAACACTTATATATGAGACTAAATCGAAAATGCAAAATTGTACGTACATACGTGATAAGTACTTTTTAGAGGTAACTGGCGCAAATAGTTTTTGAGTGTCAAATTTTATTATTTTCTTTGCAAATCTGGAATTAAACTTTACTCTACGGATAAATGTTTATGGGAGCGACAGCAAAATACTTGTTATTTATGATACAAAATACATGAATGTATATTTTTAATATTTTTAAAAAGGGCCATTATTCCATTA